GCAACCCCTTGTTTCTTATGTCTGGGGGGTATGGCACGATCACGTGTTTCTTATTGGGACGTTTCGTATGTTGTTGTGGCCGAGATTGGGCTGAGTTTCTTTTACCAATCAGCGAACTGCGTGCCACAAGTAAGTATTTTTCTCTCTTTTTTCTCGGGAAAGAAACTGCTCGTGGTTCAACAATCACTGACATTTCTCTTCTTGGTATAATATTTGTGCCATCATGTACATACTGCTGCTGTAACATCCTGTCACCTGCCAGGTATCCTTACACAACCTGCTGTTGGAATCAAGGCAACACTTGCTCTGGTCGTCTCTCTACAATAATAGACAGGCACTATTCAAAGTTCTGAATGACGTACCCATAATTTCTTCATCTAAGGGTTATTATTAACGCAACGTCGAAATCGTTCTTTGTTAAACGGAACGGTTAAAAGAAAACCCGACTTTTTTTTGCTTGTTCTTTTCGTGATGTCATCGCAAAAAGTACGTTTCCTTCCCTGAATACACGCTTTGCTCGGCACACAACAGGTTGACATGGTATTGCTCACCATAGAGCAGCAATAAAAGCGCAATAAGCAGCACCCGGCACAGAGGACAACACACTTAGAAAGATCCCGTCCACCCGGCCTGCTGTTTTCAGTTTTCAGCAACAACAGGCGCACGGCAGAGTGTCGCAACCTGGGTGTTGCTTGCGATTTCTTCAGTTTGCCAGCTCATTTTTCACGGTTGCGACTCCCATCTTTGACCACCACCTACCCAAAGGTAGACGAGCTCAACAATCATAGGGCGGCAGCCGCGCAGACGGCTAGCATCATATAGATGGCCAATCCGAAAGAATTAGCGTGTTGGAGGCCCTGTTGCTCTACTGCTGCGTGACGCCGTGGATTGATGTTGATGTGTCCGACCAAAAACAGATCATCTCGCCGCAATTTTTCCAACGGCATTTTGGTGAGGTGGCACACGTCTCTCACACACCTTATTAAGCAGCACCCAAGCACTCAATACCCACGAAGCAGCACGGCGCCGGGAGATGGTATCATATTGACAGCCGAACCGAAGGAATCAGCGCTTTGGAGGTCTTGGTGGTGCTGCTGTACTCGTTCTACTGTTTCCGTGTTTGCTATGTGTGATCGAAAAAAATTCCCCAGCACCAACAGCAGCAGTTGAAGACGAGAGCACCACGCAATGTCTAGTTTTGGACCAAGAACGGACTGAACGCCGCTTCTGCCGCTTGTCCATCTCCATAACAGACCTGGACGTGAGTCTGGCAGGTCTTTCTAGCGTTCTCAGTGATGTTACAGCGCCCGCGGTGCGCTTGTCCGATGCTTCTGTCAAAAACACGAATTCGTTTAAGTAGCAAGCCCCCCAAAAACCCGGCTCCTTCTTTTCACGCTTTCGGGGAAAAACGCCTCCATATGTGTTCAAGAAAACACGGTTTCGTTTTTTTTTTCGTGTTTTATTGGTCGATAAGAAGCACCCTAACGTGAGATATGGAGAGAGCAGCCAGAAGATTGTTGTCTCCACAACGAACGGTAACCTGATATTCGTCCAATACCTCATCCTTTATGTGTGATCATCATCGCAAATAGCCTATTGTTGTTGCCAAACGCTCCCACGGTGTGGTACAATCAATTACTACATCATCATGACGGAGTTGGTGAAAAGAATATGACATTCCCCCAAATGTTCCATACCCGGATGCGACAAGTGTGCCGGGTAAAATGCCTCAACATGAAGTCTGTCTGGGTGACTGGCAGGCACCGAGGCAAGATCGAATTCTTCTCATACCAAGGCGTAGACTACTGGTCAGTGTTAAATGAGAAGGCTATCCGCACACCATTCTGACACCGGGAAGCGGCCACCAGGGATTTATCCAGATACATACCCGTCCATGCTCACCGTCGTGTCAGCAGCTTTCTTTTCTGTGTGCATGTCATTGCTCTTTACAGATGAGTGTGTGTGATATGGCTTCACATTCTGGAGGCCCATGGAGCGGCTCATGAACCCCTCTCTTGCTCTCTGCGGATCACCCTGTATCCGCTTTGTTTTTCAGTTCCAATACAGAAGTTATTGCGAGCATGTCCTACTGCTGGTGGACTCTAACAGCTTCTTGCGCTGTTTCCGTCTTGAACACTCGGCATACGCTTGTTCACCAGCTGCTGGAATTTCACTCTGCAGTTAAGGTGACTGGGCCTCGACGCCACGGTTTCCGCCCACCACTTCAAGGACTTCGGCACCATGGATTTACAACATATCAAGTGGTCCCTCTGAATAGTGCCGGTATAATAATAAGTGGTCTGGTCCATACAAGCATTGCTGGGCCCCCGCTGTTTGTAGGTGTTTAGTTTGTGTGTGTGTGTTTGTTTGTAGCATCGACCGCGCCAACCGGCTGTCTGTGTGTGTGTGTTCGTCCCATCTATTCTGGCGCCGGTTTACAGGCCTTTCGGCGTATATTCCTGACGTACCAGCCGGGTTCACACAAGGGCAAGCTCACGCAGGAGTTTTTTCGTATTCGTAAATATGTGGAAAAGAGGGTTTCGTCCTCGACAGACGTTGGGGAGATTGTACCTTTATCAAGGAAGGTGGTCTCCACATTACCCCCCCCTTTTTCGAGACTTCTTGTTTGCTAGGCAAGAAGAGAAGTCTTCTTGGTGTAACCGGAACCCGACCGGCTGGCGGCGAGTAGAACCACCTTTTTTCCAACAATCTTCTGTGCGTGTGTGTGTGTGGGTGCACCACTTCCGCCACGCATTGTCAGAAGTTTCGAGTTCGAGTACTGTGTGTGTGTGTGTGTTACGAACGTGTGCGGTGGCTGTGATACGGGGGGTCCCCCACGGTAGTATTAGCCTGACCGAACGCCGCTTAACTTCACCACAGATCTCTTCGTCGACGCCATTCATTGTGGAAAAGAGGGTTTCGTCCTCGACAGACGTTGGGGAGATTGTACCTTTATCAAGGTGGTCTCCACACATAATCTACTTCTTGTGTTTCAGGATTTGGACACCTTCTTTGGGCGGGTACCGAACGAAGATCCATTTATTATTATCGTATGCTTATCAACGCTGTTGATAGTTGTTGTTGTACATATGTATGAAGACTTGAATAAATATACATGCGAGAAGCTCAAGATTTGTTATCTACGTGTTGTAGTTAGAGTTGATAAGCAGCCCGGTCATCTGCATTACTTGCTGGTCAGTCAATAAATTACCCATCGAGCGAAGCGAGAGCGAAGAACGCCATGCCCCCCCCCCCCACCCCGTGTATATATTATGTAGCAGTGACAGAGAAAATCCACTTTCATTCGACGCCTGCGGCTATTTAATAACAGCAGATTCCTCGTCGTCTCGTCTCTACCACACAAAGCAAGCAAGTCATGACCACCTTACAGCAGCAGTCTCTCACAAGTAAAACTAGTCAAACGGGGGGTCACGGACTGCTTTTTTACCTTGATTTTACAATGCGGGGAAAATGCGGCGGAAAAGACGGGGGATCCACGGACTGTATTTTATTGCCTTGATTTTAGAGTGCGGGAAAAACGCGGCGATTTTAGAGTTTGGCGTGCTGGGGCGCGCTGGTGCAACACGTACGTATGGCAGCGGCCATTCTCACTTAGCGCACCACACAACAGGAGCCCTAACAGTGCATCAGAACGGCTTGCTGCTCTAGAAGAGGTGAGACACGTACCGACCACCCACCTTTGACTACTGTATGCTCGACTCGAGTGTGTGTGAGGTTATTTGTGCGTGCGTGGTGGTGTTGTCCAAGACGGGCTGGCCCGATTTTGCAGAAGATGCGAACTGATACCATACACAATGTCTTCTTTCCATTCAGCAGCAACAGGACGGCGACTTGCTTGCAAGTAGATGTACGCAGTAGTGCCAGCCCCTTTGCAATGAATGTTGACCCCGTAGCCCGCCGTTCGCTTGTCCCAGGAATGTTCGTGCTTGACTCATCTGCTTGTGTGTCAGAAAGCTGTTGTGGTTGTATTTGTAGGAAAAATATATTGCCGGAGAGGTCCAGCAAGCACCAGAATATTTAATCTAACCGGGTCTCCCAACGTCGAGTAGGGGCAGGCAGCAGCGCTTTGCGTTGGAGCCGTGCCCAGCGTCGCCTAACCGTTTGCATTGCCAGTATGCCAAGCCAATGGAGTCAGTCAGGCTGTTCAAGGAAACCTGTCTGTCTACTCCCATTTTGGAAAGTGATTTAGGGCGAGGGAGACAGCAGCAGCAGCAGCAGCAGCAGTTGGATCGCGCACGCTGACTCTTTTGGGCAACTTCGGGGTATAGATCTATATCTTCGTCAGCTGCGTCATTATGACGCTTGCTGTTCTGTGCAATTAGTCTATCGATTGTAGCCCCCCATTTTTCTTTCGGCAGACCGCGACCCATGAGACAGGTCAGGCGCTGCCTTCGCTTTGATTTGAGGAATTGATCACAAACAAGAAGTGCGCGCACGTTTTGTTGCACGGTCACAGCTGATGTAAACTATTACAACTTCCTTGCTTTTGGGCATCCCGGCTGTTGTATGTTTTTGATTGTAGACTGCTTATACATACGGATACCACCTGCTGTAGACGCCGATCGGACTGCCACACAAGTATGCAGCAGGGCCTCAGTTCTGCAAGATACACCAGGGTGGCTTCCGCCGCTGTTGATCGATGCGTACAATGACATGACGCAAGGCAGCGACCACACCGCGCCTCATCTATTGGAAGTTTTTTTTTTACGTTGTCTGGGATACAGCAGTAGTGACTACGGCTGTGTTTTAGTCTAGGTGCTGCTGTGTTTTTGATCCACTCACTAAAAAGACTCCACCACATCCCGTTCGACTACTGTGGGTATATCTCGAATGGGTAGTAATTCTGTGTGTATTTTTATTATTCCTTAATGCAATGAGACGAAAGAATGGGGAATTCACTTGGGTGGATTCACAGCGGAGAGAGATGTCGAAGAGCGTTGTACTGTAGCGTGTCCTCTGGTGCACTGCTCGCAGTTTGGTATACAATACCGCTGTAAGAAAAGGAGGGGTCGTCGCTCTACCTTCGGTACAGCAGTATCGTCTTGGAGTCCCTGTAGAGGCGGCGGAAAAAATGCGGTGAATCACGAAAATGCTGTGTGGCGGCGGTATGACGGCAAGACGAGACGGGTACCGGCAGTGGTCCGGAGAACGATCCGCCAGCGGGTGTTCTGGTCGATTTATCGGATCGAAGCAAAAGCAGAGCGTGGCCTGTGGCATGCCTATGGGTCGCTGTCTGCCGAACGATTACGGGGCCATCGTAATTGAACAGCACAGCAGCGTGATTTCGGGCTCTCGGATCTTTAACGCGTTTTTGCGTATCTACAGCTGCAGTAGATCTCCAGATAGATTGATTTCGCCGCGTTTTTCCCGATTTCGGTTTCAGAAGCTCTACACAAGTACATCTCCAGATTCACCGGGAAAATATGTGGTGTTTTTTACGCACCATAGGAAGGAGGGGTCGTCACTCTTCTCTTCTGTATCTATCGTCTTGGAGTCTTGGAGTTGAAGGCCGCGGGGGAAATGTGGCGAATCATGAGAAGTTCGTTGAAGTTTTTATTTCCGACTTCGGAAGCGCGCTCCAGATCTCCAAATTCACCGCGTTTTTCCCGCAGTCCCCCCTCAAGATCTTGGAGGTGCTGATCATGTCATCATTTGATTGACTGCTCACCGACACACATGCACACACACATACACACACACACACACCCTCACGGGGTCCCAGTTCATGGCAGATAGAAGTGTTTTGTGTTTTCAACCGCACCAAGACTGACGTCTTTTCATTGGTCAGCCGGTTAGCGCGGTCGATGCTAATTATTAACACACACACACACACACACACACACAGACAGACAGACAGACAGACAGACAGACAGACAGAGAGTGCTACCTCGACTACGTCACGCAGGGTCCACCCCGACCTTGTCATCAAAGCAAGCGTAACGCCAAACACATGAAATCTATCTAAAAGATCTTTCCAGAACCGCGCATGCCCAACACCAACGGCGGTGGTCGCAGTTCATGTAGGAAGGCGGACTAAATAGACTCCGACAAAGGAAGAGGGGGAGAGTTGTCCAGAAGAGTTGGGCGATGGGACGAAATTAACTCAGCAGCACCTGCTCCTGTGTCCGTGGCCCGCACCATCCTTGGAAACCGTGAACAATCCGGCGGGTATTACTGTCGTACATAGTTGCGTATGACGGGACACACACACCCTCGCCGATTTTCTAAGCTCGATTGCTCCTCTCAGCGGAATCAGTGATGGTGGCGAGAACGGCGGCGTTGGAACCCGTCTCCTCGAGGAGTAGTTCCAAAGCGCGCGTCGTTTTATCTTGACATCCTCTTCGTCGTGGCGTGACGGTGTTCTGCAAAACCGGTGTCGGGAGTGGCGTATCGCACACTTAACACTCAACCTTTAGGTGTGCCCACTTTCACGAGCTGTTTGTCGTCCAAACTTATTTCGCTCAGAGGCAGGAAGTAAGAACGTTTCGCGCTCTCGACCTGTGCGCACCTCGCTTTTCCTCCTCCAACGTTGGTACGCTAAAGCCTGCCAAGACAAGCTCTGCGTCCGCAGCAACAAGAACCGAAGCACGCTTGAAACTTCGGTGCCGACGACATGGACGCCGTCGAAAACGGCGAGGCTTCCGCCGCTGCCGCTCGGCCGCCGACCTCTACGGCAACGGAGGTGGTGAAAGGCAACGAAGGCGACGGCGGAGAAGCCGTTGCTAACAGCGGCGGCGTGTCGGTCGAGAAGGACGTTAGCAAAGACGGCGGGGGGACCGACGAGGACACGGCGAGCGGGAGCGAGGAGGGGGGCGGCAAGAAAAAGAAGGAGGACGATGAGGAGAAGGCCAAGTCGGTGGGCACGGCCAAGCTGCTGCTGAAGTACGCCTCTCCCCTGGAGATGTTGTACATGTTCCTCGGGACCATCTCGGCCATCGTGTGTGGGTGAGTGGAAGAGAGACAGAGAGAGAGAGAGAGCGCGCGGGGGGGGGGAGACAGAGGCAAAGAGAGCGAGAAAGAGAGGGGGGAGAGAGAGGGAGAGAGATGGTCTCGTGGCATGAGGTTTTTGAAGGGATTCGCAGCAGACGAATGAATGCATACAGCCGTGCTACGTGCGTTTCTTTTTTCTTTTCTCGTGGTGCGTATTTCTCTTGCCTAAGAAGCGAGAAAGCCGGTGCATGACGCGTCTGTGTTTTGTGTGTGTACAAAACACCTGCCGAGCAGCTTTACATGGCGCACTCTTTACATTACCCCCAATGCTACTTCCCCCCTTAAAAAAAAAGCGTGGCCGCTGTGAGAACGAGTGATTATCCCTTCCCTGACAACCCCCCCCCCCCCCCCCCCGCCCTTAAACGCACACGCCTATTCCCCTCTCTCTCGCGCGCTCGCGCCCGAAACCTGACGGTTCCGAGCTTCATTATCGTATTCGGGGACGTCATGGACAAGCTTAACGGCGACAACATCCTCAACACGGTCGGTAGCCCGGCGGGTGTGTTTGCCATAACCGGAGCGGTGGCCTTCATCTCCGGGGGTCTGAAGGGGAAGAAAAGGCTGGGGGAAGGGTTCCCTGGAAGGGGGGAAAGGGATAAAAG